AGGGAGAAAACAGAGGGCAAAGACAGAAGGAGGCTGGGTCCTTTATGATGTAATTTAGCCTCTACACTGATTGTGGAACCATCTACATCCAGACTTTTTGTTGTAAGATAATTAAAAGTCTTTGTTTAGACGTAAAAAAGAAAAAAAAAAGAAAAAAGAAAGAAATGAAAAAACTGGTTACAAATTTTTGTATACGATTCATCTAAAAAACCATTTTTTTTCCTTGGAACAAAAATAGTTAAAAACGTGGGTTTTATAAAGAGATTTGAATTAATATGGGGCTACATAGATACACAAAGCAGAAGTATCTGAAATTATTTCACTGCCTGTGATCTTCATCAAGATCTCAGAGTACTCAAAAGTTCTTTGACCCTTTCAACCAGACTGTCCTGTTTGTCTTCAAAGTCTTCGTTAACGTCCAGTGTTAAGATTGGTACCTCTTATAGATAAAGTTAGTTTTCAGTGTTCTATGCAAGAGCCAGCTTTCAAAGTGGTTATTCATCCAGTCATTCATGTCTTGATAAATTGTCTACTCTGTTTCATTCATACAGTCAGATTCATACAAATTAGATGCAAAAAATACCTGTCACTGTACACAGATTGTTCAAAAAATAATACAGCTTTCTTCACCTCTTTGAATTTGCCATTGAGAGAGGCAAGCTGAGCTCATGTTGGACTGAGGCGGGCATATGATGGAAGGTGTAAGACCATCCTTCAGGTTTCTCATACATCACCTGAAGAAGATTCTCACCACTTTTCTGAGATGTTGTCAGTTCTTGAAATTCATCTTGAACACTTTGAACATTGCACTATCTGGCAACAAATTCAGGAACCATTTACCAATCCTCACGGACTTGTTTAAGAATATTCACTTTAAGGATATTCACAAATGTTGACTTCCCTGCAGTGATGTACCCTTCAATGGACATTTTCTTGATGCGAGTCCCCTCAAAGCTGGTCACAGGAAATGGGCAGCTCCTCTTCGGTGGGGTGGCCATTCCCTCAATTTCATGGTGGCCCCGACACGTCGGGCAGGGATGGCTAGGAAGTGGCCACAGGTGCCTGGGCTGCTGTCATCCCCAAATGTGGCCTTACCTGCAGGCTGGACTCCAGTAGGTTGTAGGCTCTCTACCAAGTCTCCTAATTTGATTTTCACGCACGGAGTCAGAGGCTGAGGGCAGGGGCGGGGGGAGGTGGTTAGGCAGGCCTATGGCAGGCGAACCGCCCAGCCTGGAAGCTACATGCCTTAGTTTTTGAAGACACAGCCAAATTGTCTTCCAGAGGGGCTGTATCATTTTACATTCCACCAGCAATGTAGCAACATCTCAGTGATCCAATTCTTGCCAACATTTTGTGTTGTCATTATTTTTTTATTTTAGCCATTCTGATAGATATATGGTCATACATGTTGTGATTTTAATTTGCATGTTCCTAAGGGCTAATGATATTGAGCATATTTCTGTGTGGCTGTTTTGCCGTCTGTATATCTTCTTGGGTGAAATGTTTGTGCACATCTTTTGTCCATTTTCTAATTGTATTGTTTGGTTTTCTATTGTTGAGTTTTGGGAGTTTTTTATATGTTATTCTAGATAGTAGTCATTTGACTGATATGGGGTTTGCAAATATTTTCTCCTAGTCTTTAGTTTCTGTTCATCCTCTTAACCATGTCTTAGGGAATAAAAGTTTTAATTTTGATAAGGTCCAGTTTAAAAATGCCCCCTTTTACGGATTATACTTTTGGTGTCAAATTTGAGAACCCTCTGCCTACCCTTTGGTCTTAAAGATTTTCTTCTCTGTTTTGTCTAAAAGTGCTACAGTCTTACATTGTACTTTTATGTCCATGACCCTTTTTGAGTTAATTTTTGTATTAAATGTAGGGTTAGGTTGAGATTCTTACTGTCTATCTGTTTCTGTCTGTCTTCTTCTTCCTTTTTCTCCCCTCCCATCCCCTCCTCTTCCCTCCCTTCCCGTCTACTCTCCTATCCTCTTTGCCTGTGGACATTCAGTTGTCCTAGCATTATTTGTGGAAGAAGCTATCTTTCCTCCACTCAATTTCTTTGCACTTTTGTCAAAAATTAATTACATGCATTTGTGAGTCTGTTTCTGGATGTTTTTTTCTGTTTCACTGACCTACGTGTCTGCCTCTCCACCCTCATCATAGTGTTGATTACTGTAACTATATGTAGGTCTTAATATTGGGTAGATTGATTATTCTCACTTTATTCTTTTTTAAAGTTCTTTTAGCTATTCTAGTTTCTTTGCTTTTCCATATAAATTTTAGAATAATCTTGTCTATAGCTACAAAAAAAACTTGCTGAGATATTGATAGGACTTGCAGTAAACTTGTTTATTGATTTGGGGATAATTGATATCTTTACTATGCTGAATCTTCCAATCCATGAACATAGTATAATTTTTTATTTATTTCGTTCTTTAAATTCTTTTATCAGTGTTTTATAGTTTTCACCATATAAGTCCTGTATGTATTTTGTTAAATTTATATGTAAATATTTTGAGGAATTATAAATGGTATTATAATTATAAGTTCAATGTCCACATGTTCATTGCTAGTATATGGAAATATTGGGTTTTGTATATTTATCTTATATGCTGTGACTTTTCTTAACTCTCTTATTGGTTCTAGGAAATGTTTGGTAGATTCCTTAGGATTCTCTATGTACTGTCACCTACAAATAGGGATAGTTTTATTTCTTCTTTTCTGATCTGTATACCTTTTATTTCTTATCTTGCCATATTGTACTAACTAGACATGCAATACTTGCAATACTGTACTGAATAAGAGTGGTAAGAACAGACATTCTTGCTGTGTTCCTTATCTTAAGTGGACAGCATTATCTTTCACTATTAAGTATAATGTTAGCTATAGGTTTTTGTCGGTACTCTTTATTAAGTTAATTACATGTATAACCTATTGGTTAAAAGAGATTTAAGAGATATACCAACCAAATGCAGTGGTGAACCTTGATTGTTTTCTAATTGAAAACATTTACGAGGCAATTAGAAAAATTTAAACACTGCCTGTATATAAGATGTTATCAGAGAATAGTGTTAATTTCATTGTCTGTGATATATTTTATTTTTTTGTTTTGTTTTTAAAAAGATTTATTTTTGAGAAATGCAATTGGAAATATTTATGGATGAAATGAAATGATTTTGGGATTTGCTTTAGCAGTCGATAGAGGAGGAGTGGAACTTATACGTGAAAGTGTTGGTGGTTGTTGAAGCTGGCTTTAGAGGTTCATAGTACAATTCTTTCTGCTCTCATATATGTTGAAAATTTACATGGTAGTTTTAAAAAATTAGAGTTATCAAAAACAAAATTTCTAGGCCAGCATTTCATTTTTTCCACTAAGGCAAAGGATGTTCACAAACGTGCAACACCCCCGTCATGGTGTTAGGTATAACTCCTAGCATACTAATTGTAATTCTCTCATTTCTCTGGTTCTCAAAAAAACCTTGTGAGACTGCAAATGAAAGTCTCGTTTTTATCAAGGTATAACTTTGACTCTGACTGATGATTGGATAAATTGAAGAAATATTTTAGGAAATAAGGCCTGAAAGGTTTTGGGGGGTCAAAAAATACTGATTCCGCCTTCAACTCTCACCCTGTCCCTTCATCTAGTGTTGGGGAAAGTTTTTAAAAAATCTCCTGCCAACCCAGAAAATCCTTTCCAAAGGGCAGAAAGCATTGTTACTATTGAATAAGCATTAAACCAGATTGCCACCTGCATGTCAGGTAATTGCTAATGAGATTACAAGAACAGAAAAAAACATACTCTTTTTAATGTAGTTTAGGAGATACATTTATATACATGTTCTCAAGATTAATAGTAATTTATCCTCACTTAAGAGGTATGTAACACAGTTAGCTGTACATTCTTTCATATTCATCCCAGATTCACCTGGCAGTTGGGCTAACTATCTGTGCTAGTTAATTGTCTTTATCCTAAGAAGTATGTGTATGTGGGGACTTCTAGTATCATATGATAAGCAAGTAGTCACAGTTCAGAGCTAGGCACATAGGCTAAATGTCCCATGTAACAGGGAGATAAGAGCACTGTCAGTCTTGATGTTTACTTTTCAAAGGCACAGCTCTCAAGCTTTTAAGAAAAAAACATTCCTGGGTGGTGATGTTCACAGAGGCTTTAAAAGATTTATATAATATCAAAGGCATAGAGGAAGGATTTACAAATACAATTTTCTCAAAAATTTCTCTAGTGTTTCTCCATTAAATAAGATACTGGCTTTAGAACTATAAAGGATATGTATTTTATCATGTTGAGGAAGTATCCCTCAATTCCTGTTTTTTTAAAACGTTTTTATTGTCACTGGTGCTGATTTTTTAAAGTCTTTCTCATTGTCTCTAAATATGTTCATAATTTTTCCCCTTAGATACATACATTATAATGTACTATAGTAAGTGGCATAATAAGGAGAATGAATTTTTGGAGCTCTGTTAAGAAATAGTGTGCAGAAGAGTTAACACTGGAACTGAAACTGAGAAGTCTGCCATGTAGGAAAAGGAAGGAAAGACATTCAAGATTAGAAATAATCGCAGAAGTGAAACCCATGTTAAGGAGATGATTTACAAGCCTGTGTTAGGCTTTGGATACCAGACTATATTTCCCAATTCATGCTTTTCCTCTAATCCCTTCTCTCCATTCATTCCTATAATCTCACCTTCTTTGAATGAGCTTACTCTAGTTTTGTATTCACCCAAGTCTTTAAAGCCCTCGTCTATTATTTTTATATAGTATTACTTTCTATTTTTTCCTTTTGCAAGTATATTTTAGCCAGAAAGCAAGCCCCTATTTAGATACCGATATTTATTCTTTGTACATATTTAGTCTCATCCAATTGTGTGAATCATTGGCAGTTTCTTTCCTTTTTTTCCCAGGAAGTAAGAGCAGTCCTAAAACCACAAAGTCAACTCAAACACAAGACTCATCATTTTGGGGGCTGATAAAGAAAAGACTCAAAAGAGATGAACCCTGGAAATTCTTATCAGAAAAACCCTGCACATACGAAGACAAATTAAAGAAACAGAAGGACAAAAGTTTACAAATAATTTCAATCACCCATACGAAAATCCTCCCTGTAGAAAAAAGCCATAAAAATAGTGACTTTGGCCAAAATTTCAGCCTGAAGTCAGTCTTTGTTAAACAACAGAGAGTTGCTAGAGAAAAAATACCCTCAAAATATGAAATACAAAGAAATAGCTTAGAGCAGAATTCAAATTTACTTAACCAAACAAAAATCAAGACAGCAGAGAAATGCTATAAATGTAATATATGTGAAAAAGCCTTTAATCACAGTTCATCCCTTCGTAAACATCAGAAAAACCATACTGGAGAGAGATTATTTAAATGTAAAGAATGTTTGAAAGCCTTCAGCCAAAGTTCAGCTCTTATTCAACATCAAAGAACTCATACTGGAGAGAAACCCTATATGTGTAAAGAATGTGGAAAAGCCTTCAGCCATAGTGCATCCCTTTGTAAACACCTAAGAACCCATACTGTGGAAAAATCCTATAGATGTAAAGAATGTAGTAAATCCTTCAGCAGAAGGTCTGGACTTTTTATACATCAAAAAATCCATTCTCAAGAAAATCCCCATAGATACAATCCAGGTAGGAAGGCATCCAGTTGTAGCACACCCCTTCCTGGATGTCAGAAAATGCATCTCAGAAAGAAGTCCTATTTATGCAATGAATGTGGCAACACTTTTAAGTCTAGCTCATCCCTTTGTTATCATCAGAGAATTCATACAGGGGAGAAACCTTTTAAATGTGGGGAATGTGGGAGAGCCTTCAGTCAGAGCGCCTCTCTTATTCAACATGAAAGAATTCACACTGGAGAAAAGCCCTATAGATGTAATGAATGTGGAAAAGGCTTCACATCTGTTTCACGACTTCATAGACACCAAATAATTCATACTGGAGAGAAATTGTATAATTGTAACGAATGTGGTAAAGCCTTAAGTTCCCACTCGACACTTATTATTCATGAGAGAATTCACACTGGAGAGAAACCATGCAAGTGTAAAGTGTGTGGGAAAGCCTTTCGACAGAGTTCAGCTCTCATCCAGCACCAGAGGATGCACACTGGAGAGAGACCCTATAAATGCAGTGAATGTGAGAAAACCTTCAGGTGTAACTCATCCCTTAGTAATCACCAGAGGATTCATACAGGAGAGAAACCTTATCTATGTGAGGAGTGTGGGATATCTTTTGGCCAAAGTTCAGCTCTTATTCAACATCGGAGGATTCATACAGGAGAGAAACCCTTTAAATGTAATACATGTGGGAAAAGGTTTAGACAAAGCTCATCACTTATTGCACATCAACGAATTCATACTGGAGAGAAACCCTATGAATGTAATGCATGTGGGAAACTCTTCAGCCAGAGGTCATCCCTTACTAATCATTATAAAATTCACCTTGAAGAGAACCCCTTGAAAGTAAAGTTGCATGTGTGAAAGCCTTAAACCAAAGCTCATCAGAGTATACATACTTGAGATTGATTTAATAAATGTAATGACTATGAGAAAACTTTCTATTTTAATTCCTTATCAGGTATCAAATTCTAAGGATAACTCTGACTATGTAATAAATATTGGGAAAACTTTTATACCTGCCAGTCACTTTTAAATGTCCTGAGACAAATAAATCAGAACTGCAGATATTGATTGTGCCATTTATAAGCTGAAAGGTAGGGTTTTTCTGTCTTCATACAGCATTATATGCTATATGTGATATGTAAATGTGAGAAATATCTGAGTGTAGGGATACTGGATTTCTCAACAGAAAGACAACAACTGTATAAGCTAATAGCATATTTATTACAACTAACATTTTAACAGCAAACAGAATTGATCTTAAAAATATGCATTTTTACAGCAAAGGACCAAATAATAGATTAAAAACAAAACAAAACTGTAAACTACCTCAGTCTCTGGAGTTTGCCTTTTCCTAAACTGTTGTCAAACTTTGTGCATGGTTTTCATTAAAGAAAGAAAAAAAAGTCTGTTCTCTTCTTCCTTTATTTTTCTAGTTACTTCCAAACTATACCTAGCAGTCTCTTAAAATTTTTACAATTTCTAATTTTGTTCTCAGAATTACTTTTCTTCATTGCCTCTAAGTCATATCTATTGTGGCTTTTATGTTTTTAACAACATGTTAGATAATTTAAGTAGAAAAAAGTATAGTTTGATTAGGCCATCCATTCAAGGTTAAAACTATTAATATTTTTTTATTTGGCTGCAAAAAAAATCCTAAGCCTAAGAAATAGTTTAAAGAACCTATCACCTGTGGCAAAGTTTTGAAAAGGAATCATTTTCATGAAATAAAAGCATGTTTTTCTAATTTGAGTTTGTCTAGTTTTCAGATTGCCAAGGAAAATGAAAGAAGGGGAATAATTCTAAAATGTGGAACTAGTTTACTCAGTAAATGTTTAACCCCAGGTTTGAACGAGGTACTCTCCCAGGCACTGTAAATTGTACATAAGAAACTGGGCTCTGTCTTCAGGAAGTCATGAATTAGCGGGGCAAGAGGATGAGGTTGAAGGGAATAACAACTGAGTAAGCAGAGTACAGTGTGTTAAAGCATTTCACAAGGAAATAGATGTTCTGATGATACTATGTTACAGAACATGCATGTTGTGGAGATTTACACAGGATGCGGACAGAAGGAAAGGGGCATAACCAAAGGAACTCGGAGAGACCAGAGTTAGTGCCCCAGAAACAGTGATGTCTGGCCCATTTTTGGAAGGATAATACAAATTCTCCAGAGTGAGACGATTACTTCAAAGAGAGGGAACCACATATACAGAGGTACAGATGGGTGACAGCATGGCATGTTTGTAGAACATCTATTAAGTAATGATAATAATTTGTCAAAGCTTGAGAAGGCAGAGGCCAAAAAAATCAAAGGTTTCATTTGTCATTCTAAATAGTTTGACTTTGATTCTGAAATTTATGGAACCATTGAAAGATTTCGTATGAGCGACATTGTTCCGACAATAATGTGTAAAGAATGAATATAGGAGGTTGAAGACAGCTGAACAGACCACGTGGGCTGTTATAGTAATTTGAATGATGAGTGAACAAGGCTCTAAACTCAAGCGGGGCAGTGGAGTGAAGAATATGTGATAAATATTAATGTGGTAAATTAGATAGGGCGTGGCAATCAAATAATTGGGAGAGGTGAGTTGAGAAGAATGGTAGGCTTCTGCCTGGTTAACTGGATGTGTGGCACTGCTGTGCACTAAATAAACAATATAGAGGATGAACGAGTTTGGTTTTATACATGTTAAATGGCTCATACAGATTTAGAAATTAAATGTGAGCCAGAAGACTAGAATTAGGGGTAATTAAAATATAGTTGGTAGTCAAAACCATGGTACATGAAATTGGCCAGCAGAGTGTACAGATTAGAATGAGAAATAAAGGCATCATGGATAAAACCCAGGAAAACATCAACATGTAAGGAGTTGGTGGAAGAAAAGGATTTAAACTAACATGAAAAGGAATGGGCCCTACAGCTGGGCCCATTGATATCAGTAAGCCCAAAAGAGAAATTAGTCTGATTCTGAAATTTATGGAATAAATTTAAAGATTTTATGTGAGTGAAAATTCACCTATCAAACGGTCAGTAGTGTCAGGTGCCAGTAATACAGAGAGTAAGTTGGAATTAGTAACTAGGAAAATATGGTAAGAAATTGGTAAGAACAATTTCAGTTCAATTTCAGTGAACAGAATCCAGATTATTCTAGATTAGATTATTAATAGGAAGGTGAAAACTAGTAGTCTGTTTTAGATTATGTTTTGAGAAGTTTAAATGAAGGGAAGGAAAGAGATCTGATTTAGAAGAAAATAATTTAAGGAGTATTTCTATATTAATGATTGGATCAATATATATATGCATGTTGAGGGTGAATTAAGAAGGGATCATTGAGTGGAACAATTTTTGTGAGATGTTTTGAGGGAATAGAGCTGGGGGGGAGGGGGCGGGGGTTTACCTTAGGCTGGAGGGAAAAGCCTATAAAAAGATGGGACTGCAAGTAAGTTTCTGTTTGATTTGGAGGTGAAGGAATTTCTGCCTACTTATTGTCTGTAAAGCAGGAAAAAAATCTCATTTTTAAAAGATGTTGATTTTAGTAGCAATTTCTGTATCTTTAAGTGTTTCAAAATGTTAAATTAATGAGTTTCAACCTGAGCTTTGGAGACCTTTAGGAAATCATGGCTCTGAGTTCACTCCATATTCTTGTTTCAGTAATAAAGCTCCATGTTTATCAGTTTTATATGTTTGATATCTATTTTACTTTTTGTTTTTAAGGAAATAATTTTCTGGTGAATCAAAGTTTAAAAATTACTTAGGAAGAAAGAATGCTTTAAAAGAGTGATAAGCCTGAACAGAGACTGGAAATAAATGTAGGACTTCAGCAAATGTTCACATAAGAGGAGGCACGAGAGGACATGGTGTACTCACTGTACTATTGTTAATAGTATGTTTAAACTTTATTTTCCAATTATTTGTTACTAGTATATAGAAGTACAATTAATTTTTATATATTGACCTCACATCCAGTACCCTTGCTAAATTCATTGTTTTCTAATGGCTTGTGTGTAGATTCTTTTGGATGTTCTGCATAAACAATCATCTGTAAACAATGGCTATTTTAATTTTTTTTCTTTTCTATTTGTAATACCTTTAAATTTTTTTCATACATTATAATACTATATAGCACAGGCCAGTACAATGTTGAATACAAACGGTAGCATTCAGTTTTTCACCATTTAGTATGTTAGCTTTAATTTGTTTGTGGATATCTGTTATCAATAAAGGGACTATTTTTTTGTATTCCTAGTGTGCTGTGATTTGTTATCATAAATGGGAGTAGTATTTTGTCATTCATTTTCTTCACTGACTGAAAGATATTATTGTTTTTCTCTTCATGCTTTTAATGGAATTACATTGAATTTTTAACCAATGTTGTGTTCCTGAAATGAATCCTACTTCATTATGATGTATCATCATATATGTGTGTATAAGATCAGATTTCTTTCTTAATGAATAGAAGCCTGATGAAGTGCCCAAGGTTGTGTTCTAAGACCTGAGAGAATTGTTTATCATCCAAATCTGAAGAATGGATGGAATCATGATACCTAGAGAGGAAGAAGAAGGCAAAGACCACAGGAGCAAAAGGCTCAGAGGGAGAGCGAATACAGCATCTGTAGGGACCAGTAGGAAAACTAACTTTGCTGATGTAGAGGGGCTCCTGAAAGGGCAAAATAAAAAATAATAGTGGAAATGTTAGCTAGAACTAGGTTATTAGTCCTTGAATGCTGTCTGAGACTACAGAACATTCATCTGAATATTGTCCATCTGTGTCTGAACAACTATCTGTTGGAATATCTATTTGTTGAGATATCTGGTCTGAACATAGGTCTTGCTTGAGTGCTTATGTATCCAGATATCTATGTGTCAAAGTATCCACATATCAGGGTGCCTATCTGCACCCTGATATGTGGATATTTTGTCCATCTGTCTGAATATCTGTTGATCTAAACACACATCCTTCTTTCCGACTGTCTGGCTGAATGTCTGTGTGTTGGAACACCCATGTGTTGGAATGCCCAACTTCTGAAATGTCTCTGTCTGTCTGTAACTCCATCCATTTGTCTTAATACCTGTCTGTCCGAACATCTATCTTAACATCAATGTACCTGATGGTTTGAGAGTCTTACATCCATCTGTCTGAAGGTCTGTCCAAATGTCTGTGTTAACCTGTCTATCTGTTTGAATATTAGTCTGTCTGACCATCTGTTCATATGTCTAAACATCCATCTGTTGAATCATCCACCTGTGCTAACACCCGTCTGTGGGAATGTCCACTTGGCTTTATACTCATGTGTTGGAAGGCATATCAGTCCAAATGCCCATCTGTTTGAATGTCTGTCCATCTGTCCACAGGTCTGTTTGTTTGAAAGTTCATCTTTGTCTTTCCAAATGTCCATATGTCCATCTGTTTGTGTGTCCAAATGACAATCCTCCTGAACATGTCTGTCTTTATGTTTGTTCTGCTGTGAACTATGTGTCATAACATACATTTGTTAGAATGCTCATTTTTTGGAGTGTTCATCTGTCCAGATGTCCATCACACTAATGTCTCTATCCCGACATCCATCTTTCTGGACACCTGTCTTTCAGACCATCCATCTGTTGGAACATGTCTGTCTGAACACCTGTTTATCTGTCAATGTCCAACTTTGTGAATGTCTATTCATCTGCCTGAATGCCTGTCTGAACATATGTCTGTCTGAATGGTTCCCATTTGAAAAGTCCATCTGTATAAACATCTGCCCATCTGTCTGAATACCCATGGATCTAAGAGTTCATGTGTTAGAAAGTGTCTGGCACACTCCTGTCTATCAGAACATGTCTGTCTGAATGTCTTCTGAATGTCTAACCATCTGCTTAAAGGTCTGTTTATGTGAATGTCTGAACAACCATCTCCATGAACTTCTGTCCATCTGTCCAGACATCCATCTGAACATGTCTGTCTGTATTAACATCTGTCCATTTGTCTGCACATCTGTCTGTCAGAACTATTTGCCTGACCATATGTCTATCTGTCTAATCAAGAATTCCTTACCACAAATTATGCAAAAAAGCAACAGCCCAAATTACAACTCTATTGCTAGCAGTCTCTTTTTGGGTTGGTAAACGTGCAGTGTGTTCATTTTCATGATAAATATATGAACTTGGTTTAAAATATCAGAAAATAATGAAAGGTGAACATGACATGGGTTGCTACAAGAATTCCTGCAGCGTGATGTGTTCCCATCTACTCAAAAGTAGTGAGGTAAGAATCATCAAAATTATGTTGCTGAAGAACGAAGCTGGAAGACTTATACTACCAGATAATATTACACCCATACAGTCACCTGAGTTATAACAATGGCTACACTGATGTGGTGTTATTTACTTTTTTTTTCAATAAACAACGTTGGGTAACTTGGA